ACAGACTGGAATCTCCCGCGAACAATAGCAAAGACCTTCGCAGCAACATCAGTAACTTATGCCGTGGTAGCTCTCGCGTCTTCCTTCTTGTAGACAGGTACAACGATGCCAGAGCCCCAGTCATCAGGAACGCCCTCCTTTTTCCATGATTGTCCAACTACCTCATGGAGCCAAGGTGCTAAAAGTAGTCAGCTGAAAAACCTAGCCCGACTTGGTTTGTCAGGACAGGGGAATGGTCCTCGGACATTTGCATTTGGTCTCCGTCGCTGGCGAAGGGAATGGGTCGAACTGTCCATGTCCGCTGACACAGATCGTCACGCGCGGAGAAGTAACATTCGGGCTGGCTAAATCAGTTATGATCGCAGCCACAACTACTTGTTGGCGGCGCACCCTGATCCGCAGCCGGGGCTTTCGCAGCGCCTATTCGCTGACCACGCCTGACGAGACCATTGGTAGAATAAGGATAATTCAGTACGTCGCAGACACCAGATAACATGGCCCTCATGCTGATTTTTGGTTCCATTTTGGGTTCTACTTTTCCATCACTCGGTATTCTCACTTTCCAATCTCAGAGAAGCGCAGTTCGTCAACAAAAAAGCAATTCAGAGCACAGTCACTTATATGAGTTTCCTACTTGAATACCAGTCTCCACAAACTGCGCATGGAACGCCATTTAGGTAATAGTATACAACAAGTCAATCTACTTAACTGTCTGCATTAGCTCATTTTGCCAGGAACAAAAATACTATCGTTGAAAGAAATACACAATCGCATCTTCCGTTTTAACACTTTGACTGCGACGTGCGCCATATTTGGTAAACGCATACACGCACGGGCATACAGGCTATTTTGGCAGTCTCAGTCAAAATGTTAAAGTGTCTACACCAAATCAGGAACGCCATTATCCGCTGAAAATATCTTAACTACATTAACACTAGAACAGGTTAACCCTGAAGTCCATTTATTTTTTTAGAATACGGTTGTTTCTAAACTGTGACAATCCCCTCGAAAGAGTTCACCAACAGATAGGCCGCCAAAAGGATGCCAACAAAAGATAGAAGCCGAACAGCAATTAGTAAATACACTTATGAAAGAAATCATTGAATACAAAAAAGTAATCCGTTAACCGCCGACAATGATACTGTTAATAGGAACAAAGACCAGCTTTATTACGAAGCCGAGGATGCCCATTGCGAAGAAACCAATGGTTGTCGCGATTACATTCTTCTTGAATTCTGCACAAAGGACGAGATTATCGAAATAGCGACAACTAACCTTTTCTGTCAGGCTTCGTACATCTGTGAAAGAAATGGACGGATGCTTTGGCAAAGCTGATAAGAGGATCGCTGACAGCCGACACCTGGTCCATTACGCCGCGTAAAGCTACGTGCACAGACTAATTGTGCGGTAGCTCTAATAAACAAACCACTAGTGTTTATCCAATGTTGTCTTCACTGAGACCACAATGGAACAAGGTAGTCATTACAGTTATATTGTTTTTCTGACTCTAATTGTACGTAAAACCTTGTTAAAATATGCATCTTTCATCAGAAATTCAGGGAGACGGAAATAAGATCCTTTCAAATTAAGAACACTCTAGACGAAACAGTTTCTCTATCACCGAGTTCATGGACGAACAAGTTTGGTTAGAAAACTTTGCCAAGTGCACTGTCTATGCAAGCCAACCTCCAGTTACTGCTGAAGAAGGCTACACCGATTTTGTGCGTCTGTAGCACAGTATTCTGTATC